TCAGGCTAGATGATCTGTTCAGGTCCCTCCTGACCCTAGCTACTATGAAACTATGAAACCCAGAGTTATCTATCAATTCAGCATGCATTTCCTCTGTAATGGGCCCTACTCTGAAGTTTGACTGAAAAGGATCCAGTTTACCTGCCATTGATATAAACTGCAGGAGATTACAATATCCTTTACTGAAGTAACAGAGTCATGAAAACTGTCTGACCTCTTTTCCATTAAAGTCAATGTGCAGCCTTAACATCTGCAAAATTATTTGGTACCATGACTCTTCAGCTGTTAATGTCCATACTGGAATAGTAGGTAAGTAGAATTTACCACCAAACTATTTGACTAACAAATGAAGACTCAGAATACATTACCATAGAAATGTATCGAAGCAGTCAATTCAGACACTAGTAGGAGTCTAAATGATGAAGTTCTGACAATTAAATCCTATTTTATTCATGTCAAAGTTGTCCAGTTGGTTATGAATAACACCAACATTTTGGTTCAATTAGGTCACAGTTTCTTGAAGAAGCTTCAGACATTGTTGGTTCACCAGACGTAAAGAGTTGCCTCTTTCCAGTTACTACAGAAGACCGAAAGATAATGCAATTTTTTCCTTTATGACAATTTATTCTCTGTTGTGACAAAGCTGTCAATTGTAAGAAACTAAAACACAAGTAACTAGTAAAATCTGTCGTAGTATTTTACATTTGCTCTCTAATTTTCATCACTGTGTATGTTTTCTACTGTGCAATGGTAAGAACCTCTGCAAAGAGGTGAAGTGCAAAGGTTCAGAAGAGATACTGTACTGCCTTACATGTCAGATAAAAAACAACCCCCCCATGAATTTTGGAACAGAGGGATTTACCTGATTAATTTCAGCTTCAAGATCTGCAATTTGTTCCATCTCTGAGAGCTTCACAAAGCAGGGGGTTCGTCTCCGAGATAAATCCAGCATTTCCTATTTAAAAAGAACAAGAAATGAAGGCACAAGGTCCACAGAAATTATCAGTCAAAAGCAATTAGAAAATTCCTAAGAGCAAAACTGTAGTGAAATTGAAAGCCTTCTGATAATTCAGTGGGATCTTGGCCAATCTTGCCCATCTCTCATTGATCTTTTTGGCAAGCACACAAAAAATTAGCCCTGCACCTTCCACAAGGGTGCCACTTTCATCCCTGTCCCCTGCCTGATCTGCTGCCCTGCTTCCTGCCCAAGTTGCTGCTCTGCTTTCTGGCCTGTGCTCCCTGCCTGATCTGATATTCTGCTTTCTGCTCCCTGCCCCATCTTCCACTGTACTGCCTGTCCCCTCCCCAGTTGGCTGTGAGCCACACACAGAGGTTGCCTGCATCATGTGTGGCCATCCCCTTGCTGTTTCTGTTGCATTTCCTTCTGACTTTAGTGGATCAAGAAATATAAATCTTAGAGAGGCAGCTAAGCTAGTAAGACATTTTCAAGAGGCAAGAAAAACAGGTTTCTCATTGCAGGACAGTCTGGGAGTATCCACTCATAATTTGCTCTATTAAATTCATGTACTAGAATGCAAGAGATGGGACTAAATGAAAAGTGCTCGCTTTTCAAAAGTATAAACTTGAGGAAAAGACAGTTATACCTTATGTGGAAGATTAATAATGCCCCAGATGGGATGAAGTTCATCACAGGCCAGGAGGTTTTTTTCACATTTTCTCTTTTCGAATTAAACATTATTTATACCAACAAAAGTAGGATTTGTCATCACAAAGGGAATCTTATTCCTGACCCACACTGTTTCAGATTTTTAATTAATTTTTCCCCTCAAGGGATAACGTACATAAGACTGCTGACCTTCAAAGCCATGTAGCGTTGTACCAAAAGCCTGGGCTGCTTGCTACGTGCCTGCTGCCTCCACAGTGGGAAGCAGCAAAGGTACCTTAGTGTTCCTACTGAGGTTCCAAGCTGATTAGCCCAGGTGCAGCAGTATCATAGAGATACTGTTGAAATGTCTGAGCAAGCACTGGAATGTTTGTGGCAGGTCTGGTCACACAGCCATAGACCTAGAAAGAGATCGGCTGTGGGGTGAAAGGTGGGGAGAATAATCAAGAGGTTTAAGAACCCAGAACTGGTGGATAAAACATTAATTTAGGAATCAGGAAGGCTAGGATCTCACAGGTATCTTGACAGGATTACCTAAGACAAAGCACTTCACAGTAACACCTCAGTTCCCCCTCTCCCTAGCTGTCTTATGTAGATTCTAGATGGAACTCATCCCCACAATATCTGAGCACCTTCCAGTAGCACCTTAAAGAACAAAACTAATGTGTTTCATGTATTTGTTCTGTCTTCCACTGCCCCAGGGGAAAAAATATGTGGAATAGTTTAAAATGCACACACAGCTATATTTATATTAGAGAAGGCAAGATAAACAAAAAAGAATCAAGTCTGGCAGTTAGAGTGGAAGGTGGTGAGGTTTGTACTGGCCCTTACGAGGTTGATGTGCAGACCGGGAGCGATCCAGGCCCTTTTTCGTGCCGCGCGGGCTGTGGCCAGCAGCCCGGGCACGCTGGGTCGAAGAAAACAGGCGACACACTAGAATTAGGCACGGACGCTTAATGATTGATTCAAGATTGTTTACTTACACCGAAGATAGTCGCGGTGTAGGCTGGACAGTTTCCCAGGCACAGCTCCGCTTAAATCCTCGTTTGAGGACTCAGACAATATTCGGATCACTCCCACGGAGTTGTCGAGGCTCCGTGGATCCTTTTGCACGTGGGGAGTGGGATACGTCGAGGATTGCGAACGGCGACGGGGAGAGGCTAGAGGCTGATCAGACCCCTGTTGCCTTCTTGATATTCACGCTGGGTTCAATAGGCTCCGCAGCGCTTAGAGATCTTCACGAGACGTGAAGTCTCCTCCTCCTGGTGTTCGTGGAGTCCTCCCTTGCGGGGGTTCTCCTCGGAGTTCTCCAAGTTCTCCAATTTGGGCAGAAACCGCTCAAGCCTTTTATACGGCTAGCAAGCTAATGGCTAGCAGCCACGTGGGAATAATTTAGAACTAGCCAATGGTGGGGCACAAATTTGAATATGAATGGCAGG